CACAGTCAACACCTGGGGAGCAGCAGAGCCATAATCTACAGCCGCAACCTCATCCTCACCTACAACATTTATCTGATTTGTAGCTGCTCTCCGAGAGCCATAAAAAGCAAAAGCACACAATTACCGGGGAAAGAAAAGGGCAGCTGCTCCTCCTCTCCCCCGAGCCCCAGTGAATTGGCACATCCCTATTCCCAGAAAGGTAATATTGCCTGCAAAGCTCAACTTGCAGGGCAATCATTTATGAAAACGTGGCAGGCTGCCTTTGGAGCCAAAAAGGGAGGGAGAAGCGGATGCAGGGGGAAGGCAGGGTGCCTGCAGCCCCTCCAGCCCCTCGCCATGCCAGGAGGGCACTGGCCCCATTTGCGGGCTGGTTCCTGTGTTGGCAAAGGGGCCGTGGGATGCCCTGACATGCCCGGAGCTGAGCTGGGTGTTCCCCACAGGGTGCTGCCCACTGCCTGCCCCACGCAAGCAGAAAGGCCTCGTGGCTCCGAAACTGCCACGAAGCACATGGGGACTCTCATTTCCCAGGGGCAAATCCTCTGGGTTGCACTAGATTTTCCACCCAAGTTACGCTGCACCAGCCCCCGAGTGCCCTGGCAGAGCTGCTCTTCCCAGTCCTGCTGCTTCTCACCAGGGTAGCAGGTTAGATTATCAAATAACCTAAAATATCAGGTGCAAGCAGTATTTCTGGCACTAACCACTGGTCTAACAGCAGGAAAAAGTGTCAAAGCCTCGCTGGAAGATCCCCCTTTCACACCTTGTGTGCTTCAGTCTCACTCTGAACACCAAGAAGCGCTCCAAGACTTGCAGTTTAGCTCGCGCCTGGCACCCGTGAGCTTTCAGAGCAACGACACTGCAAGCTCAGGAGGGTTGAGGACCAGGTTTGGTGCTTTGTGGAGCTGGATGGTGCGGTGAGCCTCACCTGTGTGCCTGCGGTCTGCTGGGGCAGGATGCGGAGGAAGTCCTCAGGGAGGTTGCCCAGGAGCGGTGGGTTCCAGTTCCTGTAGCGCCCGGGTGCCGGGGTGCTGCCCGGTGCTGGCACGTCGGTCCTGCGGGGCAAGCACAGGCGGCATCTTTGGCGAGGGAGAAACCCACCGGCATCTGCCGCAGCAGCTCCGCCGGCGGTGCTGGGAGCCCAGAAACCACAGCGCACCTCCCAGCTCCCTGGGGAGCGCGAGGCTTTCCCAGCCCGTTTGAAATCTTTGGGAGCTGCTTTTCAAGCCTTTCCCCGCCACCGCATGGGCTGGGTTCCCCTCCTCCCCCCTGTCTTGCTCAGACTCCCAGCACACAGCCCTGTGGCAGCTCCAGTGCTGCAGGATTTTGCTTACGAAGCTGAGGAATGTCTCTCACCAGATGTCACACCC